ATAAACGTGCATTTAATAATACCAAGTAGTTTGCAAATTAAAAAAGTTTTCCGGCCTGTAGTAGTTAACTATAATGCAAAAAAATCAGCTTTTACATCCCGAGAAACACTTGTTTTAGCATTCAAAGGAAATTTACAACCATGCCGATGACTAATTTTCAACAATAACTTGACTGTACTAAAAATAACTTATAACTTCTAGATTCTCAGTTATATGTCGCTAAGGGAAAATTCAAACAAGCCGGAAATAGAAATGTTTCTTGAAGGCGGAATTTACAGACAAATACAAGTTTTCGAGAATTTTTTTTAATTTCATAGATAGCTCCCAATCCACCAGTTTGATTGAACAACATTGTAACCTTAATAGCAGGAAATAACAATTTGCTGAACTAAATGTAAAAGGTCAAAATTAGTTTAAATTAGTACTATTTTGATAGACTAAGAAACATTTTTTGCATGTATTATTTGTGGAAATGTAATCGTAGTAATAAGCATCGAACATGCGGAAACTTTGGCCCGTAGTTGTAGTCAGTACTTTTCTTAGAAACAGATCTGGGAAACAAAGGCCCGTGGTTATAGTCAAAATTAAGTCGACACTAATGTTAGTTAAACCTTTTTTGACAAGTATCCCATTGAAAATTATGTCCAAAAGCTGCAATTAACTTTAGAGTCGACCTAATTTTGACTATAACTATGGGCCTTTGTTTCCAAATCCGTGTCTAAGGATAGGAAAATACTGACTACATGTTAATAAGTTTGTTAAGAGGCCGAGTTTCTCTTCCATAGATCTGGATACAGTTTCCGATTTCTAATGGATACTTTAAAGGCTAAGGCAGTGGCAACACTGCTCCACACATGTGTGTTGGATGTACGTTAGGGTGGTCCAAAAAAATGCTTGTGAAAAAGGTAAAGTCCCAATACTCTCACCCCTAGGATTGTTCTACTTATATCAAAAAATATACCCATGTTTCTTTATTTCGAAATCAAAAAAATATTTAGAGGCCGCTTAAAGCGCTCAAAGTTTTCCATGTATTTTATATGAAAAGAAAAACAATTTTTGTAGAAATGGTATGAATTCTTGAAAACCAATGTTTTTCGATTGGAAAACTGTTTCCCTTAAGGATACTTCCTATAATAATGCAAATTTTTTTAAAATTTTTTTGGTAGAAATTTTTAAAATTTTTTTCCATATAAAGTAAATACATGGAAAACTTTGAGCGACGTCTAAATATTTTTCAAATTCTTTCGGTATAAAACAATCCGAGGGGGTGAGAGCGATGAAATTCCGACTTTACTTATTTCGGGCCACATCAATGTATACCTATACATATATGTATGTATACATATATAAAGACGCTTTTATAAGTACCCTGCAGCAATTCAGAGTCACCCTAGGCTAGCCCTCAGATACTCCCCATTGTTACCAGCACTAGTCCCTCATAATTCCCCTGCCAATGGTTTCAACCGCCGATTTTAGCATTGGCGTGTCGTTGGAAAAGGAACGGTCCAATCAACACTGACCGTAAGATAGTCCTGGACTAGTCCAATTTTGGAGATTTTTTTTTGTTGGAACACGATTACGTTCTGCACTTCACAGATGCTTTTTCATATTTCGGAAACACAAAAAAAAATATTTTATCATTTTACAACCATGTTGCTTCTGACGGCATTTGAACCCGGACCCTCCTGAAAGCTAACAAATAGTGGCAAGCATCTCTGCGCACTGAGCTACAGCCACGCATGCAAATGTGTGTTCAAATGTTCACTTTGCATCAAGGCCAGACCAAGCGATTGGGACATTTACAGGGTGTTGTTCTTTAATTGTTTTTATTGAATTGTAAGACAACACCACCCTGTCACTGCCAAACTGTACTTTTCGTCTATCTCTAGGCCGGTTCCTTGGGGACTGGTCGAAGGCTGACATTTTCGATGCAAGCAAATGTCCAATTCTGACCAATCAAATTTTAACCTGTGAAGTACTAGTCCTTATTGCTGCAGGGTATGTAAGTTTATATACACATATGTATGTATGTATGCAAATATGCATATAATTTGGGCGGGAACAAGTGATGAATTGGTTGAGGTAAACGAGTAATTGGCTACAAATATTGTAAGCTGTTGTATGAGTTTCTTGCATAAGATACTCTGCAGTAGCTACCCTCCAGTACTGCTGGAGTCAATTGCTACTTTTGAGCCGCTACTGCACCGACTCCAAGGTAAGTAGCTACTCTATTAACCCGTGGTAGTGCACACGGTAGTGCAGAGTCGAACCAGTCGTAAGCAGAACTTGCGTGATTTATGGGCGCCCTCTGTCGTAGTTTTTCGCTATTCTGCTTCCGCCTGGTTCGACTCTGCACTACCATGTGCACTACCGCGGGTTAATAGAGTAGCTGCTTACCTAAGAGTCGGTGCAGTAGCGGTTCAAAAGTAGCGATTGACTTCATCAGTACAGGAGGGGATTGGACTCAAATTGCAAATCACTTTATCGCGAAATTTATAAAGCCGATTTCAGTAATTAAAAAGATATAAATATACATACATATCGTCGTTTAAAGTACGAAACCTCATATGAGAGGTGCCAAATTTTTAAAGGAGCGAGAAAAACCTATCTTATTTCATCACGGTTCTGTGTTTTATCCCTAATTATCTCTACCGTTTATATTTAAACATCGATATTTAGGTATACATGGATTAGGCTTGATGTCAGGACCTTCCGGTGAGTAAATCTCATTTTTGGCACAAATGTTAGTTACGAGCCTTTGCAGAACTACGATACGCGGTTTGTACGGTTGCCAGACGTTCTGATTTTTTAGCTCTTGTACTGATTTTATTAATTTCTTCAATCAGTACGCTAATGCCCTGATTTTCCAAAATGTGTACTGATTTGTACTGAATTTTCAATTCAAACAAAATACTTTAGGATTTTCTTAAGCTTTTTACATAACGTTGGAACTTCCTTAAACCGTACTGTAAAAAGTAAAAAGAAAATAATTTAATTATAGTTGACATGTTTCAGATAATGTTTGATATGCCCAAGAAATTAATACAACAAAAAGATCAATCGTTTTATGGGCATCTTGCCGGGTCGTTACGTACAGTTGCGATAATATGATGGAGCTTAAATTATTTAAAAATAAGGCTGGCGTTTTTTTGTCGAGTGTTGTTAGTTATCTCGAAAATAACTTTCAGTTTAATAACAACAAATTTGAATATTCGAATGGCTTTTGCCTATAACTTACAATTCTTTTTTCACTATTTACTGACATTGTAAAAGAGTTTTGCTTACAAAACACAGAGTTAGAAACTCTTTTTAGCGAATTCTTAGTCTTTCAAAGTTTTAGCATAATTGAAAATATATATTTAAGCCATGAGAAATTATAGATAAAATATTTATATCAGAGATGCTCAACAAACTATATGAATCGACTTCGTTTTGTTTATGCGCAAAAATACCTTACCAAAATAATTTCGCTTCGTTTCAGAGCTAAATTAACGAAACAAAACTCAATCGTTAACGTTGAAACGAAATAAATCATCAATCGTTAACATCGAAACAAAATAAATCAACGAAGAGTTGTTGTTGTATGCCATTGCCAGCTCACTATAAACACCTAGCACCTAAATGCATGCTACAGCTTCAGCATTAACGATTGAATTTTTTTCGTTAATAAGCAAAATATAATTATTTTGATAGTTACCTAAACGATAAAAAACTGAATAGTTTCAAAAGAAACGATTGATTTTTTGGTAAACGCTAAAATTAACTTTACAATGCATCCTTGCTTTATATAGTGGTGTTTTTCCCCGGTTTGAAAAAATATGTATTTTTTTTTTTTCAATATTACACTCAAACGAAGCAATTGAGAGGATCTTAAGTATAAAGTTTGCTTCCGGGCGCAAAGAGAGAAACCCTTGTAATTATAGAATTCTTTGACTATTTAAACACGGAAGATGGAAATGATCTCATAATTGCTATTCACAAATGTCATAAATATAAAACAATTTATTGGCTTCTGTGTACACTAGAGTGGGTAAAAAAACATTGTTTTTGGAAATTCATAAACGCTACATCAAAATATTGTTATTTGTGATAAAAAAAGAGACTCGTGTTTTTTTTTTATTTCGAAAAAAAAGTTGTTTTAGAGGTTGAGCTGGTCGGTTTTTTAAAACGCTAATGTTCTCAATTTTTTTATTTTCGTGATATGTTAAAATGCAGATAAAAATGTGGTTTTTACATGTAATTACTCTGGTATTATTGGGAACATTCCCTTAATTACATACCTGTCTTATACAATTAGAATGGGCCTAATGCTAAATGAAACGTTAATACTGAACGATTTACGCATTGTCATGGGTTGGAACTTGTTACCAGTGGTTTCTGGGATTGCTAATTAGGAACCTGAAGTCAGTTTTCAAAATTCAAAATGGCGGATCCAAAATGGCGCCTAATACTTTTAAATATGATTGGATTTGTTCGAAACCAGGCACTCGGGAGTTTTTGGGGTCCCCAATTACGATTCTCAAGTAAATTTTTTTAAATTCAAAATGGCGGATCCAATATAGCGATCAAATTCTTAAAAAATTACTAATACTAAAACGTTGATACTTGTCACAACAATGCTGAGAGTATGCAAAAGACTTGTGCTCTTGTCGACTGTAGGAATGCAACTGATTTATTGATGAATGTTCATAAGTAAGATAACTTATGTGACATCCTTTTTCTTTTACAATAAAACAACTTAACGTATTATAATTCAGTGAACAGTGAAATCTTAAAGTACTATAGTCAGTAAAAAATCTAGTGAATATCCATATTTGCATATGGACATACATACCATATACTAGTTGAATGAAAACAACATAGATTAGTAGCATAAGTAGAATTCAGGAACTATGAACTTAAAAGATATGTATTAGGAAGTAGATGTGAGTTAATGCAAAGATATATTGAAAAATATAGTAGTAAATATGTAGGTAAGAAAATTTACTATTACATGAGCATCAGTAAGTATGAGTATGTCCATATCTTTGTACCGGCTTTACCACGCGTCCACTTCGCGTTCGGATGGTTGGCGAGCTGATACTTGGCGTTAGTTCGCCGCTCGATACTGCAGGTTCGTTTGAAAGCTCTTCTATTGGTTTACTGGAGGCTTGCTGGCTGTCAGTCTCGCGTGTCTCAGCGCTTGTCTCCGCATCGGGAATAGTAGCTCCAGTTTTGCGCAAGTGGTGATTGTTTCGGCGATAAATCGCTCCGCTTTCAGTTTGTACTATAACGGAACGGGGATATTGCGTTTCGGATATTACTTTTGCTGGTATCCATTCACGATGTCCCTTCTGTAGCAATACTTTTTCACCTGTTTTCAGCTTCGGTCTTTGACTAGCGCCCCGGTCTGCATATTGTTTTTGGCTGCAACGTAATCGAAAGAGTTCTTCCGGAACCTTTGGCACTACCTTTGGTATTAGTTGGGTTATGTCTGTCGGGATGGTTGATCTGGTGACACGACTAAATAAACGCTGAGCTGGTGATTTTAATTTAGCATTACGGTCGGTATTACGCAGCGTTAGAAGCCCTTTGTAAATGTCTGAGCCATCTAAGTCACATTTTCTTAGAAGGTTTTTTGCTGTTTGCACGTTTCTTTCAGCAAAACCATTCGACCTAGGATAATGCGGTGAAGAAAATCGATGTTTGAATCCCCATTCCTTTGAAAATTCCTTAAATTTATTTGCCGTGTACTGCGGGCCGCCATCACTTTCGAAGACTTCTGGAATGCCATGTGTTGAGAACCACTGTCGTAAGCAAATAATGACTTCCGTTGCTGTTGACGACTTCAGTTGTTTAAAATCAAAGAACCCTGAATACTGATCAGCTATTAACAAGTACTCGTAGCCTTTGTAGTGAAAAATATCCGAAGACACTATTTGAAATGGATATTGTGGTATTTGTTTAATAATGGTTGGCTCTTTCACATTCGCCTTTTGCGTTTGCTGGCATGCAGCGCATTTGTCTATAAAGTTCTTTATATCCGTAGATTGCCCATACCAGTATAAGGATTGTCGAGCTCTTTCTAAAGCCTTGGTTAAGCCTATGTGTCCGGAATGAATTTGTGGTAATATCTTTATAATAAGCGATTTCGGGACTATGATTTTGTTGCCTTTAAACAGACACCCACCGTCGAAAATGATTTCATCTTTAACAGTGGCATATTTTTTTATGGGTGCCGGTAATTTTTGACCGGTTTCTGGCCAACCGTTAAGAACGACAGTTTTAAGCATTTGTAGCTCCGAATCTTTTTCTGTTTCATCGACGAAAAGCTTATAGAGATGCTCATCCATGGAATTGGATATTGTGACGTTGACTTGATATTCTTCTTCTTCCTCAACCTCGTTTGGCTCGCAGTCGCGACTAAGTGTGTCAGCGATTGGTATCTTACAACCTTTTACGTAAATTACTTTCGGTGCATATTGAATTATGTCCCATAAGATTCTTTGTAGTCGTAAAGGTGCGTTATGCAAAGCTTTTTTGAAAATAGTTTCGAGTGGCTTATGGTCAGTTTCGATTACTAAGTCTTTACCATAAACATACTCATGGAATTTATTGCAGGCAAATCGAATCGCCATTGCTTCTTTTACAAGTTGTGGGTGATTCTGCTGTGACTTAGTAAAGGAACGCGTGGCGTATGCGACTGGCTGATCGTCTTGCATCAAACATGCCCCCATTGATTTACTACTAGCGTCAACAGATAATTTCACTGGCTTGTTAGCATGGTAATATGCGAGCACTGGTGTTGTTTTTAAGGCTTTTTTAATTGCATTAAAAGCTTTTTCCTGTTCAGGACCCCAGAACCAAGCATTGTCTTTGAGTAGTAAGCTTCTAAGGGGATCTGTAAGCTCAGACAAACTTTTAATAAATTTTCCGAGGTAATTTAACATACCTAATACGCGCTGCAACTCCTTGACGTTTTTTGGTGCTTTGAGACGCGTGATGGCATCAATTTTATCGCTGTCTGCTTTATATCCACTCTCAGTGAAGATGTGTCCTAAGAATTTCATGAATTTTTTGTTGTATTCACATTTATCGTTATTTAGCGTAAAACCAGATTTATGTAGACGATCGGTGACCGTTTTTGTGAGCCTTCGAAGTTCAGTTTCTGTTGGTGCATGCAGAAAAATGTCGTCCATTGCTACCTCGCAGTTTGGTATATTTTCTAACGTTCGACTCATTACTTCAGAAAACACTTCAGGTGCCGACGATATCCCAAATGGCAAGCGTAAATATCTAAAACGACCCCATGGCGTAGCGAATGTAAGATATTTTGATGTTCTGTCTGTCACTTTTAACTGCCAAAACCCCTTTTGGCAGTCAAGCTTTGTGAAATATTTGCTGCCCGCAATTCTGGATGCTATTTCTTCCACCGTTTTTAAAGGGAAGTGCCTGCGCTTAATATTTTTATTTAGCTCGGTTGGATCCATACAAATACGGATTTTAGTGCCCTTTTTTACAATCACCATTGGGCTGACGGAAGGTGTTGGTTCGCTTATTGGTTCGATTACTTTCAATTTTACCATATTGTTAAGTTCTTTTTTTACGTCATCGCGCAAAGAATATGGAATTCTCCTGGCCGGAATAATCTTAAACTTAGGATTCTCTATAAAATCAATGTCGTACTTAAAGTCTTTGCAACACCCTAAGGTCTGTGAGTTTTTGCTAACCACTTGTGTATGGTTGCTTTTTAATTCGTTAACACGTACAATGAAACCGAGTTGTTCACACCATTCGCGACCCAGTATAGGTTGAAGATTTTCGCGCACGATTTTAAACACGACACGTGCACTATTTTTCGGTGCTTTACAGTGTAATGTTGTTTCACCGATTACATTTATTGTTTGTTCATTATATGCAACAAGCCGCTTTGTGCCCGAGTTTACAATTTTAGCACTTAACCGTTTTGCTTCTTTTAATGGAAGCACATTACAATCTGCACCGGTATCTAGTTTAAGGTTCAACGTATGCGACCCAACTTTAACCATTGCATGCCATTTTCCGTAGCATTGTTTATTTTCCCTATAGGTGTGTATAACATTCACGTATTTAAAATCTCCACATTCGCTCTCCGTTTCATAGCTTTCCCTATCATCCATTTGTTGTAGTACGTGAACTCTCTTAGATTTCGCGCCTTTACCTTTTTTTACGTTTCTGTTACCATTCCTGTTCTTTTTTTCATTTCTGGCTTTGCACATTTTTTTTCAAAGTGACCTTTGTAGCCACACGCACGACACTCTTTTCCGAATGCCGGACAACAACGAAGCCCATGTTCCAAACCGCAACGACTGCACTGGAAGACTTTCTCGCGGTCTCCGCGAACATTTATTGCGTTGATGCTGGCTTCATTACTAAGCTCTGATATTTGTTTTCCCGCCCTCTCAGCAGCTCTGCAAATTTTTTTTGTTTTTTCTAATGTCAAATTTTCTTCGATCCACAACTTTTGTCGCGTGGCATCTGAACAAATACCTAGCACTATTTGGTCCATTATAAATTCATCCATATTTTCCCCGTAGGAGCAATGTCTTACTTGCTCTCTGAGTTTTTGTAGAAAATCTTCGAATGATTCATTCGGTTGCTGCTTGATGCGATGAAATTGGCATCTTTCGTACGTTTTATTTTTAGGCGGCGCAAAATGTTCGGTTAACTTTCTCTTAATGTGTTCTATATTTTTTAATTGTTCACTGCTTAAGCCCAAATTTTTTAAGACTTTGTTAGCATCTCTGCCTAACGATGCTCGCAAGTTTGCCACTTGCACTTCTGCCGTTTCCGCGTTTATTTTCGCGGCAATGAAATAGTTATTGTACTCATCTATCCAATCGGACCATTCGCTTGCCATGTCTATATCGTTGTTGACGAGCAACGGCTTTGGTGGTTTAATGCTAGCCATTTTATGAGTTCAACTTTCGTTACAGATTACTAGCGCGTAGATCACTTTTTTCTTAATCGCTCGATTTTTTAATTTTAATTTTAGTTTTTTTTTTTTTTTTTTTCTTGTCGGCTAAACCAAACTAAGTTTGTGCTAAGTCACCGGTTTTGTATGTGTTTTTTTTTTTTTTTTCTTCTTTGTGTATGTAACGGATAATTTCCAGACGTGAGTGCGATTTACAGCATTTCTGACACCATGTCACAACAATGCTGAGAGTATGCAAAAGACTTGTGCTCTTGTCGACTGTAGGAATGCAACTGATTTATTGATGAATGTTCATAAGTAAGATAACTTATGTGACAATACTGAACGTTTTAAGCATTATCAAGGGTTGAAACTCGTTACTAGTGTGTTCCTGGCGTTGCTAATTAAGAATCTGATCTCAGATTTTCAAAATTCAAAATGACGGATTCAATATGGCGATCAATAAAAAAAAATATTGGATTTGTTTGAAACTCTTAACCGCCATTTTGAATTTTGAAAATTTGACATCAGATCTTATGTATATGTCTATCAGCCGGTGACAGGTATGTAATTAAGGGAATGTTCTCCAATAATACCAGAGTAATTACATGTAAAAACCTAATTTTTAGCAGCATTTTAAAATATCACGAAAATAAAAAAAAAAGCTCTGCGTTTTTATAAAAAACCGACCAGCGCAACCTCTAAAAAAACTTTTTTTCCAAATAAAAAAATACGTGTCTCTGTTTTATAACAAATAACGAGAATTTGAGGTAGCGTTTATGAATTTCCAAAAAAAAAATTTTGAACCACTCTAGTGTACACTCATGTCAAAGTGAATAACACATTTATTTTTTATGAACTATATTTTATTTATATATCAAAATATTGTTAAAAACAAGTACTCTGGCGTTTTAAAGTATTATCTGTTACTTATATTCATAATTTTGCTTTGAATAAAAATGTACTGAAAAGTACTGATTTTTTAGCTTGAAGAAGTCTAACGTACTGATTTCGCGCATAAAAAATTTGGCAACCCTAGCGGTATGGTACTTTAAACGACGATATGTATGTATATTTTTGCTTAAAGGCCGGTACGCAGCTCTCAAGTAAACGGTCAAGAAAAAATTGCCATTATTTCGTGTGTGTGTCTAAGGAATTTTAACAACTGATACTTCACCAGCCTGTTGCCTCGCTCTTTCCTCAAGAAATAATGGAACGGGCATATATTTCTGTTGCAAGCATAGGCAACCCATTTCCTTTAAGTTTATTGGGAGCTTTGACAATTTTACCCTGAAATCATTTGATATTTTTTATTATTTTTTTTATGTATGTTACCACATAACTTTGGACCACGTAAACCGATTACTTTGATACTTTTTTAAAGGAAATGTGTTACCTCACAGGTGGTCCCATTCTAATTTGGTTTAAATCCGATCATTGGATCATGAAGAGATGAACGATAATCTTAAATTTGTATATGGGAATTGAAGTCGGTTTTGTTTTTTGCTTAAAAATTATTTGTTTATGTAAGCATTTGTTGAAAGTGCAGTCTCACATAGAAATGTAAAAGTAAAAGTCACTAGTATTTTTAATGCAATCTTGCCAACAGCAGTGTTTTCTGCATACACTTGCATCCAGAACTCTCTTGGCTTCCTTCGAGTATTTAATATTCAAAGTGCTGTCGTCACTGATGTCCGGAAGGTTTTCAAAAGCTTAATTTGTCATTCCAGTAGGTTTACTTTTCGGGTCACATGAAAACGGGTTTGTTATCCAGCTGTAGGCATCCTCAGAGTCAATGTTGGGAAAATATTCGACAATAGTTTTTTTCTAAACCTTCCAAGTTAACGCTGGTAATACGCGTTAAAGCTAAGAAAATAACTTTTACAGCCAATTTATCGAAAGCAATTTAAGTGAAAAATGATTTTAATTTTTGGATTTTTATATGGAAATGGACAGAAAATAAAAACTCATTTTCCATTTAAATTGCTGGTGAAACCGGCCGTTATCAATTTTCTTGGCGTTAACTTCGAAGTTACATACGTTTTTCTGATTCACTTTGTTTAATTGCTGGAAATTCTAAAATATACATGTCACCAATAAAAAAATCTCGACGTGCTAGAAAAAACCAAAGATGTATTTTAATTTCGCAGGCCTCTGTTATCTTCGCAGCGTCATCCAATACGGGTTTCAAATCTACCGACGGATCATACAGTGACTTCTCGTTTCTGCCTCTTGCTGCATCCTAGACATCGCTCCTTTCGTTTTTCCAACCACTGCAAATATCCGCACACTTGCTCCATTTCAAACCATTTTTCTCTACAAATTTGTCGATAGCTTTAAAAATTTCGTCGCTAGTGGTGTAAGTCCATGTACTTCGCGCATTAAAATTTCTTCTTCGATTTGCATTGCGACCTCACTAACACGAGAAGAATATTAAGTCCCTCTATGTCGGTACTTTCGTCAATTTGCAAACTAAAAAATTCACAAGCTTTCAAACTTTTTATAAGCTCGCTCTCGACTGCCTCAAAATACGTGTTGATTCGCGCTTTCACAGTGTGATTGTGAAGTTCTAAAGAATCAAGCTCTGAACACACCGAAAACAACATCAACACACGACACGATATTAAGGTTTTATCGACATAATCTAAACGCCTTGTCGACGGCGACATGATTTTTTTGAACGCGGCAGCGGCATCATGAATTTGTTTGAGATTGACATAAAAGAAGAGGAAGAATTTTATATGTCGCTAGAAAAATAGAAATGGATCCAATCTGGCCACAGCTACATTTTAGGCTAGTCGCAGTGTTGCCGTGTCGTCACCAAAATAATTATCTACATAAGAGTACGTGTTAAAATAATTTGACAGCTGTGGTCCGTAGCCCGTCGTTTCCAATGTGTTCCAAGCGTAAGTAACATATACACATGCGCGAAGCTGCTGCACTTGTTATGAGAGCAGCCCAGCACAAAATCCGAAAATTAATCCGAAAACGGGAAGTGGATGAAACGCGGACCAGGTCTACAAAAGTACCGAAAATGGTTGTGAAAAGGGTACGTTTTCGGCTATTTTTCTGAAAATTTTCTGATTCAATTTTTCGTTGGCAAAACGTACTGGGGAACCACGCTTAAGAGCGAAATACACCACACAAGCGGCTTGACAAACCAAGTGAAATATCACTTTGCTGCAAGCCATTTGTGTTGTGTATGTGGTTTGACGAGCCGCTGAAGGTAATTTTAATAAGAATCAAAATTTTTTGACTTTAGGGCCGCCATGTTGAAGTTTGATGAAACCGCTTGCGTTGTGTATCGAAAGTTTAAAGAATTTGCCCGCACCACTAGTATACTCTAGCAACTAGCGGCACCCCAGGCATACGCTCGCGGCACCCACTTTGGGAAAGACTGATCTATTGAATGAGAAATTGGCTGAACAGCGAACGAAAAGCACATTACTTTACATTTTACCAGATTTAGAGGCATACGATTTACATAGCACCAGTTAGCCATGCTCTTTATGTCTGCTTGTAGCAAAGGCTTTTCTTTAATTGATACGTACGATTTATAAACTTTCACATCATCTGCGTACATTAAAATTTTTGAAAATTTTATATCTGTAGAAATATCGTTTATAAAAAGCAAGAACAGAATCTAGCCTAGGTGGCTACCCTGCGGAACTCCTGAAGTAACATCAATGAAGCAGAAATAGTATTTTTAAACATTACCCTTTGTGATCTATCATAGAGGTATGAAGAGATACAACGTAAAAATTAGGTTGAAGACCAAGAAGATTAAGATTATAGATGAGCAGCGAGTGACATACTTGGTCAAATGCTTTACTGAGGTCGGTATATATAACCTCCACATTTTTGTTTTCACTAAACGCTTTTGAGGTATAGGTTGTGATCTCAAGTAATTTGTTTAAAACAATCAAAAGTAATAAATAAAAGAAATTTAAATAAAAAATTAGAATAAAGCAAAAATAAATAAACTTATGGTTTTAAAAAATTAAATTAAATTCAAATGAAATTTTTTTCTTTTCCTAATTAATTAAAAAGGAAAAACGACGAAGTCGAAGATAAATACGAAGAAGACTATATTCGAAGACGAATACGAAGACAGCAACTAAAACGAACACGAAGGTAAGTGCGAAAACTAATACGAAAACGAATACGTCTAAAGTGTAAACCTTTGCAAGGATCTCTACATAAACC